AAGGACAACAAATCATTCCCCTTATTTCAAGCTGGAGAACGTCCATGTATAATGCCATTTGCTCTCACAACAGCCAGGTCTAAGGCAATATCTTGAACCTATGGGCAGCTGAATTCCTCGTAAGCAACGAATGCAGGAACCTGATGGTGGTGTTACGCACACTGGTGCACAGGAGAGTTACAAGAAAAGAATGAGAACAGTGCTCTAAGGCATGGTGGGGACAGTGCAAGAGGTAGAAGACTGGTTTATGCCACATACTATCCGATACAGGGCGACACGCTGACTCATCCCTGTGGCCGCTCAGTGAGATCCATTCATGACCGGTGTGTCAGCAGTCTGTGTTGATGAGGAGCAAGCTGCTGCTACAGGTTCAGTGCTGGGCTGGAATAAGCCCGGCATCCTCTGGGACCTGTGCAGAATTGGCAGGAAATTATAGGGAAGATACTGTGGTGATGGCCAGGGTGGAACTTGCTGAGGAACATGAACCACTGGACCTGCCAGTGGGTATGTTCTTGCTTCGTGGAATCATGAGAGGCAGCAGGTGAGGACGGGATGTGTTCTCAGAACTCTTCCTTTCAATGCGTTCTTTGCTCACCCTGGAGACATGGAACCACAGAACATGCAATAAGACGTGGCAGGTCAGGCGTGGTGGCTGACGCCTGTAATTCAGTACTCCTGAGAGCGCCAGGTAGGCGGCACGTCATGGTTATGAGTTCAATCCAGCTGAGAAGCACAGACCCCATCTCTATATGATGGAAAATAACTATGCCCAACTAAACACATACAAAAAATTGTTGGGCATGTGCACATGCCTGGATCCCCAGCGTACTCAGGAGGCTGAGGCAGGATGTTCAGCCCAGGAGTTTGAGGTTCGTACCCTGCCTGACCAACTGCATTCTAAGCCAGGCAGCAGGGTGAGACACAAATATATCACAACACCCAAACAAAAACACCTGGCACGAATTTGATCCCAATCAGCTTAAACAGTTGGTCTTCAGGGTCCAAACAAAATATTGGGCCAGGACGCTGGTCCATGCCGTAATCCTACCCGTCTGGAGGAGGTACGAAGATCGCTCAAATCAGGATTCAGCAGACGGAGCCTGAAAGGGAAACCCGTCCTCTATTAAAAAAAAAAATAAAAATTAATTGCAACTAAAATATAATGGGAAATGAGCTTCAACATGTGGCACATGCCCGTAGTCTCAGTTACCCGGAAGCTGGAGGCAGGAGGATCGCTTGAGCCCACGAGTTTGAGGTTGCTGGTAGCAAGGCTGACACCACTGCACTCTACCCCGGGCTGCAGAGTGAGACTCCTGTCTCAAAAAAAAAAAAAAAAAAATTGGTAACCAAACATGGCTTGGGTTCCCCTCCTTCCTGCAGGTCCCTGAACTCTGATGCATCCTCAGCCTGAGACAACATACAGCCCTTCTTCACGCACCTCCTAAGAACAGGCTGATTCGGGGGGAAATATTCTCTTATCTGGAATCAGATTTTCGCCAACGTCCATTCTGTCTTCCCCCTTCTACCTTCTTTATAATTTTGTTTGTTCCTCTCTATGATACGAATCCTTTTTCTTCCTAAACTTTGAGATGCCTGAAAATCTTACAGGTCCTCCCTTCCACCTGTTGCAATATTCCTTTAGAATGGAGTAACTTCTTACCTAAATTCAAATTTATTTGACAAAATTTAAAAACAGCCCCGAAGTAATAACCATTCGATGCTCAGAAAGAGTCTCCCAACCCCATTCCATATCAATGAAAATATTTTATCTTTAAACTCTAATTGCTATTTATAGTTAATAAATCAAAAAGGAAACAAACAAAACCTGAAGTTGAAGTGAATAAATCTTTGTAATGTGAGAAATTCAGAGAGTGTCAGTGCTGACTAAAACACAGACATGTCTGACTCAGATGTCAAGTCAGGCCCCTTGGGACATCCTCTCACCTTTATCCAACCCAATAAAGTGCTCAATGACAATTCTCCCAAGGGACACTGCACTACAACCCTAAAGTGCATTTTGCTTTGCAGGTTTTTGTTTCAGATATTCTCCATTAACAGTGTGAGCATACCCAGGGAGCAGTAATCATTTCTGCCTTTTCGCCTCAATATCACCACCCAATTAGCTCACAGACAATGTGTCTAAAAGGAATGGAAATTGAGAGTGGTAGAAGAATATTTTAATATCTCAAGGGGTTTGCTCTTTAGATGAATTGTATGCCAGAAGACTTCCCTCAGGCCCAGGGCATCCAGCTGCCCCCCTGAGAGGCTCCACCCCATACCTCAGGTTGTCCTTGGAAGGAGATAACCCAGGGCTGATACTCATCAGATACTTCAAGAGACATGGCTGCTGTCGTCATCTTGGATCATCCCCAGACTGTTCTGTTATTCAGGACATGAAAAAGACTGAAGAGTGCCTGAAGGCACATCACTCTTAAATTTCCAAAGTGAAATCTCAACCAGAAGAATTTCTGATAAGGAGTCTGCACCTAAAGAAATGAAACAAAGAGAGGCACAAATATTTTTATATTTCAGTGTCAGAAGATTATTCTCTGCTATTGTCTCATGTGAAATATTTACAAAAAGAAAACATACCTTTAATAAAGTGTCATCCACTGCTATGTGAAAAAAATGGTTCATTTAAATACCGTGTCTTGCAATTGCAAAGATGTAGAAAGAAACCAAGAGCCCATCAATACACAAGTGGATTAATAAAATGTGGTATATGTATACCATGGAGTAGTATTCAGCTATAAGAAACAACTGTGGGCCGGGCGCTGTGGCTCACGCCTGTAATCCTAGCTCTTGGGAGGCCGAGGCGGGCGGATTGCTCAAGGTCAGGAGTTCAAAACCAGCCTGAGCAAGAGCGAGACCCCGTCTCTACTATAAATAGAAAGAAATTAATTGGCCAACTGATATATATATAAAAAATTAGCCGGGCATGGTGGCACATGCCTGTAGTCCCAGCTACTCGGGAGGCTGAGGCAGAAGGATCACTCAAGCCCAGGAGTTTGAGGTTGCTGTGAGCTAGGCTGATGCCACAGCCCAGCAACACAGTGGGACTCTATCATTCATTCATAAATAAATAAATAAATACTGTGTCTAAAATGTGTAATAAAGAACAAATAGTTTATAATGTTGTGAATCAGAAGCGGGAAGTTGGCATTCAGGAATTGCAAATGAAACAACAAATTTAATACTTTTTTACAAGCCTGAGGTACTCCAGGGCAACAGGGTGGTGAATTTGAGACCCTGCTTGCCATACCTTTGAAACATGCAGGGAAAAACTAGGCCTCCTGTGGAGTGTTAAAATAATTAAAATAAAAACGCTGAAGGGAGAACTGGCCAATGAGGCCAGGCAGGAGGGGGCGGGCGCGGCGGTCAGGATCTGCGCGGGGCCTTTGTGATCTTTCCTTGGCTTGGGCCGCGGAACTAGAGCGCGCGCGTCCGCTGTTCTTTCCTCCTAGCGCCTACGGAGAAGCCCCAGGTGGCGACCGCACAAGCCGTGCGGAGGTACGGGAGGTCGGTAGGGCGGACGCCGGGCAGCGTGCTAGGGGGAGAGATGGTGAGTGGGAACGCGGCGGTGTCCCCGCGCGGAGGGGCAGGTGGAACGGCCGGAACCGCGGAGGGGGGACGCGGTCCTGGCGCGGCAGCTCTGGCTGTGGACCGAGGTGCGCGCGGCGCGGGTCCGGCGCCTCTTGCTTCCCACAGGCCCCTGCGCCCTTGTTCCGTTCCTTCGCCCACGTCGCCCGCGGCCCTGGCGGGCAGCTCTGGCCCGCAGCCGCGTCTCCCCGTCGTGTGCGGGGCGGGAGGGGTCCTCAGGGGAGACCCACTCGGTGGCGGTCTCGGTGTTGGGGGAGTGTGCGCCTGGTCTCGCGGTCCCTCTGTCTCTTGGTTGAAAAGTAAACTTGCGGCGCGCCATAATCGTGGACAGCGAGCAGGAAGGGCTCCCACTGCTGGTGTGTCGCGTTTGGGGCCCACGGAGGGGCTGAAAGGCAAGGCGTTTGCAAAGGTGCATGGGGAAGGGAAGCGAATTAAGTATTTATTGATGGGTGGCACCGCGTACTGTTCCCTTGT